TTACAATATTCGCCGTAACGCGTCTTGTTACGTACATATTTATATTATAATATATATATTTATATATATAGCGTGTATCTGTGAAGAACGTTGTATAAAATATTGTATAAATATATAAATACTTGATTGAAAAAAAATAAATATATTAAATTAAAAAAAAGACGTAACGTAAAGTATATTATTTTATTATTAATATTATATTTTAATATATATATATATATATATATATAAGTTGTCAAGTCTATAACAGGAGGGTACGAAAAATTAGCGTCGTTTCGCTACCGCGACCGAGTCTCGCTAATGCCGCTTCATCATTATATCTCGATCAAACAGGAGATTGCTTTTTTTTATATTTTGCTTGCACATACGAGTGACAAAATAGGGATAGATAAATATTTGTACAGGAAGGAAGGAATAGAAAAAAAAAGAAAAAAAACTGTGAATTCTTGGAAGAATTGTACAACACGCTTCTTTGATAAAAAAAGGAAACGAAAAATGTGAGAAAATTACTAAAGTACACGTGTGTTTGTGTCTACGTGTAAGAATCTGTCTGTAAAATGATTCGAATAAATAGGTGTAACAATATTAATTGCACTAATCAACTAAAAAAACTCCCTTTCTTTCTTGTGCTCATTCGTGCTCGTTTAAACTCGATATTTACAGCTAAGTTTGTAAGTGTACAATGTAAATAAAAGAAGAAACGTGCGAATACACGGTAAGGATGAATTCAAAGAAGCGTATTTGGATGAAAATTGTGTTCGAATTGTGAAGAGTGTTCCTTCCTATGTACGAGTTAATAGGAAACTTGTTTCGTTCCATGGAAAAAAGAAAGAAAGAAAGAAAAAACAAAAAATGATTTAGAACGAAAAATGAAGAAAAAAATGGTTGATAAATAGCACGTATGCAAAGTACACAATTACGTTGCCTTCATGCAAATGAAATCGATCTATTTCTATAAGTTCATAAATAAATTAAATATTCTAATATATATATATATTCTTCAATTCTGTGAATTTCTTCATAAATCATTGTCGATTGTCTTCTCGAGGATTATCGAATACAATTATTTTTAAGATGTGAAATACGAAAATAAAAATAAATATAGAAATTAACGCGCAAATTGAGTAGGTTTTCACCCTTAACATAAAAATATATTTCTTGTTGGTATTAAGATTCTGTGAAAAAAAAAATGTAAAATTTAAGAAATGTTTAAACAAAAAAGTTTCTTTATCTTTAACTTTTTCTAAAAACGACCAACTTTTTTTTAATTTTATTTTACATTTCATAAATTTTTCAGCAATTTTTATCAATAGAATGATTTTATAAAACAATCTTTAAATTATAAAAAAAAAATAAAAATTGTTTATAAATTCAAAAAAAAACGTTCGATCAAGAAATATTTATATGCTGTCAATTCGCATTAAGTTCTCTAACGTTTTAAAGTTCTCTTGTAAACACAATTTCAAAACTACAATAAAAATTACGTTGAATAAATATTTCTTCGTTACTCAAAACTCATCGATCGGCTACAAAATGATTATACAAAACTAAAAAGAAAAAAAATAAATAAATAAATTTATCTCTCAAGAGGTCGAACAAAATCACAACGATTTAACTTATGAAAAAGAAGAAAAGAAAAAGTTGAAAAGAGAAAGAAATCTTGGCATAGAAATTCGGCCACTTTTCTATGAAAACAAAAATAGGCGGGAAAAGAATGGTGATAATATATAAATAACGATATAATAATAAAGATGGCAGAGAACACGATGAAAAGAGACTCGGTGGCATCGCGAGACGCTTTTGAAAATATGTGCCGTCGCTACTTCTTTCATCGTCGTGCGAGTATAATCGCGGATATCTCGCGACACGAGGAGAGAACTCGACAGTTCGTCGTGCCTCTTCCCGTTCGGCCGCTAGAGACAAACGTGAACTTGTACGTGTATCAACACGGTGGTGTGTATAACGCTTGGTTTCGTTTTGGAGAACGCGCGTGGAACATAGGCCTCCATAGCCCCTCCCCTCCACCAGTGCCACCATGTGTGCCTACGCATCTTTTTATCTCTCGTTCCGAGCGACGAAGAAACTCGAAGGAACTTTCACTCTCCGCGTCTGGTAAACGCGTTCTTTTCTCTCTATACACTCGCCCCCTCTATAGATGGCTCTCCCTGCTACGTTATCCCTTTCCTGGTTACCGTAACGCAGAACCAGCTAACTAAAACGTCCACTCGCTTCGAGATTGATCGTCTCATTTCGCGTCGTGCGAATAAATTGTGCGCGAATTGTTTGCGAAGAGTTCAGTTCTGACAACGAGTATAAACGAATGATGATGCGCGAACCGAACGAGAATATGGCGAAGAGAATTTATTTCCAATTTATGGAAAAATTATTCTCTTCCTTTTCACACGTTTATCTTTACAATTTTTCAAACTTTTAAATTTTTATCTAAATCTATTATTATTTTCTGAATTTTTATCATCTAAAGAGATCAAAAGTGAAACGAAACTCTGTGGAGGATATGGCTGCTGGTCACTGGCAACGAAGGGACTATGCGAGAGCGCGTGTCGTTTCGCAGGGGCACGAGAGAAACGGAAGATTGCGTGTGTTATGGCAAGGAATTAAATAATGCATTCATTAAATAATAGATGTACAAAAGTTGAACTCGTCGCGAGTTCGAAAATGTAAGGGATTTAAGGGATAGAACCTTCGCGTTTCTCGACACACAGAATCATGATAATAAACGGAGATATGATCGATGACAATAATGGTGAATATTTATGACGGTAATGCTGGATTAACACTAGTGCGATAATAGATAGTGGTAGCAGCAATGGTAATAATGAATATAAAGTAATAGCAAAAGTAACAGTAATAGCAATAGTAATAATATTAATAATAATAGCATAATATAATGTATATATAGGGCCACGATAATTTGCGACGATATATATATATATATATTAGATAAGACACGGCATTAATTGACTTTAGTTCGGAGTTTTGAACGACGATCATCGAAGCAACCGACTGCACTAGCAATTGATTGCATCGTTTTACAAAAAGGCAAAAGAAACAAAAAAAATAATAATATTAATAATAATAATATAATAATATAATATAATAATATAATAATAATAAAATAATAATAATAAAATAATAATAATAATAATAATAATAATAATAAAAAGAAAAAAAGAAACGATCAGCCAGATAAATAATATAATGAAGATAATATTAAATGGATGTGCCGTACTGTTCGTCGAAGTAAATGATCACCTACTTCGTATGCGATCGAGGCGTACAATGCTATGAATAC